CCCCATAGAGTGTCTCTGGTTCATAGTTGTTGATTTTGATTTTTAGTTTCTTATAGTTATTCTTTTTCCTGGTCCCTTGTTTAAGTTTTCTAGATTTCTGCTATGAGTGAGACCATCCGGTAATTTTTCTTTTTTTTTCTGGCTTATTTACTGGAGCATGATCCCTTCCAGCGCCATCCATGTTGCTGCAAATTGCATGTGTTTTATCTTTTTTGAATGCTGGGTAATATTCTATGGTGTATATGTACCACATCTTCTTGATCCAGTCATCTATTTTTGGGCATTTTGGGCTGTTTCCAAAGCTAGCTATTTGTAAATAGTGCTGCTATAAACATAGGGGTGCAGGTGCTCTTTGGAATTGATGTTTCTGTGTCCTGAGGGTAAATACCTAGGAGTGAAATTGCTGGATCATATGGAAGCTCTATGTTTAGTAGGTCCAGAAATCTCCACACAGCTCTCCATAGTGGTTGGACCAGTTTGCACTCCCACCAACAGTGCAGAAGAGTTCCTTTTTTCACATCCTCGCCAACATTTGTTGTTGCTAGTTTTTTTAATATGTGCCATTCTCACTGGTGTAAGATGGTATCTCATGGTAGTTTTGATTTGCATTTCCCTGATTACAAGTGATGTTGAACATTTTTCATATGCCTGTTGGCCATTTGCATTTCCTCTTCAGAGAAGTTTCTTTTTTAGCTCTTCTGCCCATTTTTTCACTGGATTACTTTCTTTGTTTTTGTTGATCTCATCAGCTCTTTGAAGGTTTTTGGTGATCAATCCTTTATCATTAGTGTTGTGTGCAAAAATGTTCTCCAGTTGGTGGGGTTTCTCTTTGTTTTGTTATTGTCTCTTTTGCTGTGCAGAAGCTCTTTAATTTGATGTAGTTCCAGCTGTTTATCTTTGACTTCACTGTCACTGCTTTGGATGATGTGTCTGTAAAGATGTCTTTGAGGTGCATGTCATGTAGTGTTTTGTCTATATTTTCTTCTATGTATTTTATAGCTTCAGGTCTTATGTCTAGTTCTTTAATCCATTTTGAGTTGGTTTTTGTGCATGGTGTGAGGTAGTAGTTGAGCTTCATTCTTTTCATGTAGCGACCCAGTTTTCCCCAGCACCATTTATTGAACCAAACTTTCTTTGCTCCAGTGCATATTCTTTGCTCCTTTGTCAAAGATTAGTTGACCATAAATCTGTGGGTTTAATTCTGGATTTTCTATTTGGTTCCATTGGTCTGTGTGTCTGTTCTTGTTCCAATACCATGCAGTTTAGTTTATAGCAACATGGATGGAGCTAAAAGTGATCATGCTCAGCGAAATAAATTAGAAAGAAAAAGAAAAATATCAGATGGTCTCACTCATAGCAGGAATTTTGAAAAACCTAATAAGGGACCGGGGAAAATGATAATTAATACAAAGTAAAAATCAAAAATCAACAAGCAACTATAAACCAGAGACACACTATGGGGGGCTGGGAGAGGGAAGGAAGAGGAAGGACTAGGGTCAAAATAAAGGGGGGTGCAATTGTATGGGGAATATAACCAAAATGAAAATGCATACATTGTGCAAAAATGAAAAATGATGTAAGAATTATATAAAATAAAATATTAATTCAAAAAGCCATGTGCTAATGGAAATGAAAAATCATCAGAAGGGGAAAATAACAGTTCTGATCTGTCAGAAGAGAGAATTAATGACCATGAGCATAGGTCAATTGAGATTAATTAGTCCAGAAACACAACAGAAATTAAATGAAGAAAGAAGAACAAAGCCTAAGGAACCTGGGGGACACCATAAAATATGTCAACACATGCATAATAGGAAAGCCTAAAGGAGGGGATAAAAGAGTAAACGGCAGGAAGATATTTGAAAAAAAATAATAGGTGAAAACTTCACAAATTTGATAATAAACACATCTATATTTCCAGGAAAAAGTCATCACCTCCAAATAAAGGAAGCACAAAGAGATTCTGGCTTAGGCACATCACAGTCACACTGATGAAAGCCAATGACAAAGAGAAAATCTTGAAAACTTCAAAAGCAAATTGACTTATCACATGTAAGGGACCCTTGACTTTTTATTAGAAACAAAGGAAGTCAAAACAGTGTGATGGCATGCTTTAAAGTGTTGAAAGAAAAATACTGTCAATCAAGAATTCTCTATCCAGCAGAATTATCCTTCTAAAATGAAAGATGGATATATCCTCAGATGAACAAAGACTGAGAAAATTAATCAGCAGTAAGTAAGCACTATAAGGAATATTAAAGGTAGACCCTAAAGCTGTAAAGAAAAGATATTAGATGGTAACTTGGATTCTTTTGGAGAAACAAAGAGCACCAGTTACATAGATAAATATAAAGACAGTATAAAATATATCATTTTTCTTTTTTCTTCTAATTAATTTGAAAGGTAAACACATAAAACAAATACAAAACTGTGTTAATGGGACTATAATGTATAAAGAGGAATGAAAATAATAACACAAAAGGAGGGGTTGAAGGGAGTTATATTGGAGTATTTCCTCTCAATATGCTATTGGAATTAAGTTGTTATTAATATAAACTAGTATGTTTTCATTTAAGATGCATATTGAAATCCCCAGAGCAATCATTAAGAAAATGACTCAACAATATAGTAAAACAATAATAACAAAGGAACTTCAATTTTAGACTCAGAAATTTGTATTTAATGAAAAAAGAAGGAAGAAGTGGAAGAACACTGAAACAAACAAACAAAAAAAAAAAAAAACAGAATGAATTGGGGTTTTAGGGAGAAGGCCTGGAGTCTGAAGACCCCAGGCAGGCTCTTTCTCGGTTTTTGTCTTCAACAAGGAAAGAATTCAATGCTGAGACCAAAGTCAGAGAAAAGCAAGAGATGTTTTGATAGGTAGGAAGGAAGAAGAACAAGAACAAGAAAGCTCTCCAAGTGGAGAGGGGTCCCAACTGGGTAGCTGATTATGGTGGCAAGAAGCAGGTGCTTATATGGGTACAGTGAGCAAGGACTGGGGGGAATGGCCATAGGGTGGTTCTGCATTGTGTCTCTTGATGATTGGCTTGGCCTGTATGGGCTTCCTAGGCTACAAAGGTCCACTAAGTTTGCAGAGTTCTCCTAGGCTACTAAGTTTGTGGGGTTCTCCTAGGCTACCCAGGCCAACTGAGGTCGCCCACGTTACCTGGCCTACCTTCCTCAAACTAGCTTTGGTCCATTGTTTTAGCATTGTGTTATTGTGTTGGTGTTCTGAACTCTCCAATCAGACTAATAAATGGACCAAAGACTTAGAGTGGGGTGTGGGGAGGGCAGAGGAAGGGGGGCCTCCTGGTTCCTCCCAGGTATTTCTCAATCAGGTTGATAAATGAACTTAGGGGCTTGAGGAACCCTGTTCCAAACTGACTACCTGCACCCATTACCTAGTTTCATCCTACAATAAAACATACAGAAAACAAATAGCAAAATGAAACATATGATATGAATCCTATCAAATCATTTATAACATTATTTTTTCAATGTTAAAGATTTATTTATTTATTTATTTATACAAGAACTGGGGTACAGGCCAGATGCATGGGAGGGTGAGAGGATTCACCAGAGATAGAGCGGGGAACAGAACAGGCAGACTGACGAAATACACTGCTGAGGGGAGCAGTGGGCGAGACAGGAGAGGTCTGCCGCACCATATGGGATGCTCGCTGTCCGGCCAGGATCAAACCAGTGTTGCAGAGGGTGCGGATAGCTTCACAGTGCTGTGCTCAACCACCTGCGCCACCAGGGAGGCTCTATTTTTTCACTGTTAACATTAAATATGAAGGATGTAAACACTTCAAAGCAGAGTATATCCCCCATGCCCTCTAGACCGAATGAGATGAACTAATTCCATTATATGTTAACACAACCCCAGACCTGCCCCCCACATGAGCATTGTGAACTGTTATTCTGTAAATAGGAGGACTATACATGAACAAATTCCAATTTTTAATGGTCCGTGTGGTCCTTGACTACTGTAGAACAATCTGGTGAAAGGCTTTCAGGATAGAAGAGGGATGGTAGGAAAATGCCAATCACATTGCCCTAATTTCTAGAATGCCCAGCCTATGACCCATGGAGACTATCAGGGGTTTGCATAGCATACATACATATTTATAGCTACCGCTTTCCAATCAAACTTACTTTCTTTGTTGAGGTTTCCAAAGATGATCAAAGCCTCTGTTAGGGGTTCTATAAAAGTGCAAGTCTCTCAGGGGACTTGAGATGGTTTGCCCTGGCCATCTTTGTGGACTAACAAAATCTGACTCCTCTTGCATCATTAAAAGGACAATCTCCAAAAATGTTGTAAATGCAAGCT